TGAGGGAAAGCAAAGGCGAAACTGAAGCTTTTTTAGGCACAGAATAATGCATACATTGGTTTCAAAATGTATCATCTATATTTAAACTTACCATTGTCTCTGGTGACTTTGGGTAAGCGCAATGACCCGTATGGCAGTGCATGGTGATTCCAGCAATGATATATAAGGGGTGCATGGTGATGTTATCAATGGCACCTGTGGTGGCACGTGATGACTTCAGTGATAGAGACTGTGTGTTTAGGGTAAAAATCGGTTCCTCTTCCTTTATTGTGTTTATTTATAAAATTTGTTCGGTGTTTAATATATGTGGTTTCTATTTATAAAATAGAAAATTATTCAAACAGTAGCTGAAATTTAGAGAGAGCTGTAGGGCCCAATCCAATAAGGATTCTGCCACCTTTTACAATCGAACTTGGGGTAAGACTTAGGTTAATGTTCTATACGGAGAGACATTCATGTTTTATCAAATTTTACAAACATTTTTGTTGAAAATTTCTTGTTTTACTCAAGGTTTTTACATTAGTCCTCGGTGAATATTAAAATTACTGTTACCTTGAATTTGCTTGTGTGTACTTGATTATGGGAGAGTGTACAGAGACATATTATTATATGTATATGTAAAAATATGTTATATAAAATGTGTGTTTTTGTAGTCACATGTGTACAATTTTAACGAGTTTTAAATGACCATTTGCAGACGGGAATTAAGTTACAAAAAAGATGAAAAATGTATTACTAAAGTAGACACAATAACTCAATTTAAAAATTTTGGCTTTGAAAATACCTTCTCCAATAGTTGGTTTACTAATTTACTGTACTTTATGCTGCATGAAAATCTTGCTTTATATCAATTTCTTCTTAATGTAGATTACATAAATAATTAGAATAGTGAGTAAACATATTAAATCTATGAGCATTAACAACTAGTAATTCAGTTTTGACTTCAACTTTTTTAACATCGGTGGTTTGAACTTATTTTATAATTTTAGAACACACTATTTACACTTAAGAGTGCATAATATAATTTACTACACATGTAAAACAGTAAGCACATTTTTTTCTTTTATTTATTTTACACATAAAAATATTGAAGAGTATTTTATAGATCCAAATTTTTAGAGTATTTTAAAATAAATAACATGATAAATATTTATTTATGGATGGACCGACCAACTTATTGATTTTGTTGTTACTCAAAAAGGAACATTTAATGGATGCAATGAGTTCAGAAGCGTTTTAATATTTCAATACATTTTGATTTCATTTATTCTGTAATAGCATCAAGATAAATGGTAAATTATTGAATTTTTTTTTTTAAAAAATTAATATTTGTTACAATTTCTTTTTTATTAATATTTTATATTTATTTTAAATACTTAATTTTTTTTTTCTTATTTGTTAAGAAAAAAAAAATAAAACAATTAAGTCCTATTTGAATATTTTGACTAAATAATTAGATTAATAAATTAATAACCATAAATTATTATTAATTTATTAGTTTAATTAATCAGTCAAAATCATTACTTTGAGCTGTTTTTTAACACTTAAATCTGAATTAATTAAAAAATAAATAAGAAACGATTAAATTATAAAAAAAAATATTAACAACTAAATTATAGTAAATACCAAAATAAAATAAATAGTATTAATAATAAAAATTTTTATTTAATTTCTTTTTCATTTTAAACATGCTTTAAAAGTTTGATAAATATTTTATTCAAAAAAATTTAGTGAAAGATTTCTAAATTTTACTTATTGTTTAAATCTATAGGAAATAAAAAAAAAATTATTATCGTACATGCATAAAGCACATATATTTATGTTATTAAATTTAACAAAATATCTCTTTAAAGAAATAACTTTATAGATTACATTTTCTATTTACAAATAAATTAAAGAAAAATTAAAAATATAAATAAAATTTGAGCACTTCACTAAAATTTAAAAGAGAATATAATTTTAAAATAAGATAAAATACAAGTGTATATAAGAATAAAATTGAGTCTAAATAAGGATTTAATCATATTTAAGACAGCTTAAAATCTATTTTAGGTAGTTTTATTCTGGTTCAGATTTTAAATTAATATTTAATGATAAAATTTGATATAAATATACTTATATCATCAAACCCACACAGTATGTTTCTCCACCCAAAAAAGAAAAAAAAAAAAAAAAAAAAAAGAAAACGATACACCATATGTGTATACACACATGCATACACCACATATAAACCCATACGATCAATACCATCATAAATTTTATAATTATAATCATTAAAACATGAAATAGTATTTTAAATTTGATCAAATCTAACCCATCATTTCTCACGGCAAGGGATGAGATCTTGAGACTCTATTTAGTATACGAAGATATAAAAATTTTAAATGTCGAAAAAAATTCTAATATATAAGTATAATAAAGTCGATAATTAATTTTAATATATTAAATTATCACGAATTTAATATGTAGAGATCAAATTATAATTTTTTTAATTTAATTTAAAAAAAGTTATGGTTTCAATTTAAAATTATTAAAAAAAATTTCTTTCTCTATTTAATAGAAAAATTTACAGATTTTAAAATTATTTTAAATTAAATAGAGCCTAATTTGGTAATAAAACTGAGAATTTGGGTAAAACAGTAAATTACAAAATAAATAATAAATTTTGGTACTTTGTAATAATAATTATTATTCAGAGTTGAACCCCACGGTAGCGCTTTATAACGTTTTAATTCTGTATTTGATTTGTAAGGGATTGCAGCAAGCAAAAGAAAGTTTGTAAAATAAAAATAATTTATGTGAAATTTGTAGGGCCAGTCGTTTCTTTTTGTATGTGAAAAATGCGAAACGTGGCCCATTTCTCCATGGTCTTCGATACAAATTTTCACTTTACAATTACAACTTCCTTTCAATTCTATCTTTTATCTCTCCTATTTCTTACACAAAAATCAGAAATTTAAAATAAAAAAACAAAAAAAAAGCACATCACTATACCATTTGATTAGATCAAATGGAAGTCCACTCAAATATTATTTTATCCTCGATGCCCTACATTCATCTCCCACCTCAGTCTGTTTAGAATTAGGGCAAAGGGAGGGGGGAGTGCCCTCTCTAGAGGATCCCACGGAGGGTACCCAAGCATTAAATTATGGGGGATGGATGATAAACCCACGAACCCATTATTAGTAATCACTAATTTAGGGACACTTAATAATCATCATGCCACTCACAAACAAGTATAGTGGAGCTATTATCAACTTATTCAATCTCTTACATGGATTTCCTCCGCCGTCAAGTTCATTCGAACTTTGTTCCTTAAGAATTATATACAATTAACAATTGATAAATGATTATGTTGGTCTTTTTCTTTTCTCTTAAATTTTATAATTAAGTGATGCATATTTTAATTAAAGAGATTTTGATGCAAGATTGTCTTGTTTATTAATTAATAATATATGCTTTTTTCCCCCCTTCCTTCTATGTTAGATACATATATATATATATATATAAAACCTAACAAATGATTAGGCAGTAGCTACAGGCAACGCTATCTTTTGAGCAAATTGGACCAGTCAATATTCTGCGTTTAGGAATTTTCAAAGGTTAGGTTTGGAAAAAGGCTTGTCAAATTTAGAAGGTAACCCATGAAAGGAAGGGAGGCCATAATGTCAAATTTAGAAGTTTAGGGCTAATAATTAAAACACTTCTTCGTCATAAAATCTAACTACAACTAAAACCCATTGAATGGTGTGTGCGTACCACAAACAAAATGGTCCTATACATACACTAGTCTTCTTTAATCAAAACACACAAAAAGGAAACAAAAAAAAAAAACCCAGAAAAAAATAACAAGTACCCTCAAAATTTGGACAATTGCCCTTGTTTCCAGAGACAGAAAACCTGAGATGAGTGAAGGAAAAAAAAAAAAAAAAAAGACAGGCTGCAGATTGGTTAGCAACTTCACAATCATTCAACATAACCAAACATGCACAATGCTCCACAATTACATATAATGTTAAAATATTATAGAAATGGAGGGTAAAACAAGACAAATGTATATGTATAGTTTGTTTTAGATATTGTGTAAGATCCAAAATTTTCAGAAAATCCTAAAGAAACCCAAAAAAAAAAAAATAAAAAAAATGGGATCTTCTTGTCAACATCCCTGATCCCTTACACAAGAAAAGAATAAACCCAGAGAAAATTTGAAAATAATAAAATAAAGAGAGGGAGACAAAATATAGTACAACTATACATAACTTCCCTTTATCTTTATCTTTCTTTAACTGCTTTTACTTTGATTGGAAGACCAAAATGACAAAATGTAGAGGGAGTGATGTTCTTCTACAGGGGCACATTACACACACCCTCCCACTCACTTTACTATCCGCTGTCGTTTTAGTCCACCTGCTCATTTCAACTAAAATTCCCTCCTCAATAAATATATATTTTTATTTTTTTAAAAAAAATTATTTATCTCCAAAGTTAAAAATGAAATCCTTATTTTAAAAAGAAGCCATTAAGACTGACTCTGTCTGCTCTCCTCTCTCTCTCTCTCTCTCTCCCTCCCCTCTGCACTTTATTCTGTTCAAATTCGATACTTTGCCGTTCGCTGAGAACGAGGCTCTTTGTTTTAACAAAGAGCCAGAGAGAGAGAGAGAGAGAGGGAAGGTTTAATGTAATGAGCTCTTTCTCTCTCTAAACAACTTTCTATTTCTCTCTCTATAATGTCTGCTGCAGCATTGTCTTCTTCTACTTCAAGAATCTCGCGTCTCACTTCCACGCATTCAAGTGTTGTCTCTATTTCTCTCTACTTTTTCTAATCGCTATTCCTGCATTCATATTTTCTCGGCTTCTGATTCTTGGTTTCCTGTTAACATAACAAAGCACTAGAGGAAGAACAATAAGACAACTTCGTTAAGTCTTCTTGGTTGCTTTGACTCGGATTTTTTAGCTTCTTTTGGTGGTCTTGAGAATTTGTTGGCGAACCAAGAGAAACCCAGTTGTTCATTTCCCTCTTTGTTACTACTTTTCAAACTTAGTTTGGCTATTTGGGAATTTCTCAATTTGTCCCTCCTTTGTTATCTTAAAGAAGCAAACTTGTTATTGGATGCTTGGAATTTGGGGGATCAGAGTCCTTGAATGTATGAAATTTTTTGGTGATTATAAGCGAAACCCAGAAATTGGGAACTAGAAAATTATAAGGGAGCTATATGAAGTAGACTTGAAACAATGAGAGATGGGAACTCCAAGAAAAGCAAGGTTTCTTACTCCCCTTTTATTTTATTTTATTTTATTTTTTTTACTTTCTTTTTTGAAGGTTAGTAACTGATTTATTGGCTCTGTGATTTTTGGTGAAGCTCTCGTGGTCCAAGAAAATGGTCAGGAAATGGTTCAATATCAAGAGCAAAACCGAGGAGTTTCAAGCAGATGATCCTGTCTGTGGAGGTGGGTACATGATTGGATGTTTAAACGGAATTCTGGGTTGGATTTCACATTCCATCTTCACTTGGTTTTCAGGAGTTTATGACATTTAAAATCAAACCAAGAAGCGAGTTTCTGTTTTCCCTGGATTTCATAAAAGATTCAAACTTGTAAACTTTTGACTTTCCATACAGTTTCTCGCCAACCAAACAAATCATTAGTGTATATTCTCTTTCTTTCCCATTTTTTCCTTTGGAAAGCAGGCCTAATCATCTTCTCTTTTTTTCTTCTTCTTTTCTTTTCCTGATACCAATCCTTCAAAAAAAAAAAAAAAAAAAGAAAAGAGAAAAACAACAAAATTTGGGATGATGTCATTGGCAGTGCGTTTGTTTGTTTGTTTTTTTTTTCTTTTTTCTTTTGATGTTAATTAATTCTTTGATTTCAGGAAACGAAGAGGAATATAGGACTAGCTTCTCAGAGAGAGAGCCATGCACGATCAAGAAGAGCAAAACTGGTGCGCTATTATAAGTTCTATTAAAATTTATATCTCCTCCAATATCCATTTTTTACCTTGGCTAATGTTTTTCTCTCAACTTGGATGCACAGAGAAATTTAGCAAGAACTGGGAGCAGGCCAGGAGGGGGAAAATGAATCTGGATAACCCCCGAATCATTGATGTTCAGAACTACAGGTATCTTATTTAAAGTTGAACTTATATCTTGAAGTTATCCTTGTGATTTATGAACGCTAATTTCTTTCTTTTTCATTTGGAGCAGCGTTTTTGTGGCTACATGGAATGTTGCTGGCAGATCCCCACCAAGTAATTTGAATCTAGATGATTGGCTTCTTGCCTCACCGCCAGCAGACATTTATGTACTTGGGTATGATTTGGTAGTTTTCTCTTCAAGATTTTGCTTTATCCAACTTAAGATTTTTATTCATTGCTGACAAAAAGTTTTGCCTGTTTCTCTTCAGATTTCAAGAGATAGTCCCTCTAAATGCTGGTAATATTTTAGGTGCAGAAGACAATGGTCCTGCAAAAAAATGGCTGGCTCTCATCCGGAAGACACTTAACAGTCGTCCTGGAACTAGTGGGAATTCTGGTTATTACACACCATCTCCCATCCCTGAACCTATTGTAGAAATGGATGCATATTTTGAGGGATCATCTAGGCAAAAGAACTCGTCTTTCTTCCATCGTCGATCGTTCCAGACAACAAGTAGTTGGAGAATGGAAAATGACCCTTCTATTTCACAACCACGGCTTGACAGACGCTTCAGTGTTTGTGATCGTGAATCTTCGGTCATAGGCCTAGTGACTTCGACCCTAGTTTAGAAGGAACAAAAGCCTAGTGACTATTCAAGGCCTAGTGACTATTCCAGCCTATGATATTCCCGCTGGGGTTCATCAGATGATGATAATGGACCAGGAGATTCACCAAGTACTGTATTATATTCACCAATGTCCTATGGGGGATCCACATCCAATGACCATGGATATCGGATGCCAGGGCATTCAAGGTACTGCTTAGTTGCCAGCAAACAAATGGTTGGCATTTTTCTCACTATTTGGGTGAGAAGTGAATTAAGAGAACATGTTAAGAATATGAAAGTATCTTGTGTTGGCAGAGGATTGATGGGTTATCTCGGAAATAAGGTACTCTTCAAGTGAATCATGCACTTTTTCTGCGTTGGTTTGGTTTTTCTTATTTAATGAATTTTCCTGAATAAACAGAATCATTAAGAGCACCTCTATTTGCTTGCTGTTTATAGGGATCTATCTCAGTCAGCATGTTATTGCATCAAACAAGCTTTTGCTTCATCTGTACTCATTTAACCTCTGGACAGAAAGAAGGTGATGAGATAAGAAGAAATTCTGATGTCATGGAAATCCTTCGGAAAACAAGATTTCCAAAGGTTAATGGTGCAGGCGATGAAAAGTCACCAGAAACAATACTTCAGCATGAGTAAGATTTTTGCTCATCTAATGTCACTTCTATAGTATTGCACTCTTTTTCGGCAAACAAATAAAACTTGTGGAGTAGAGAAGGGAAAACAAGAGATGAAAAAATAAAGTCAAATGTAATTATTTCCCTTTTATTGGAGTTTGAACTTGGAATCGATATTGCCAATCTCCTTCAAATTGGGGATGATTTATATGTGTAATGTTGTTTTCCGAGTTGATTCAGAAAACTTGAAATTGATGTTATCTTGAATCAAATATTAACACATTCGTGGACATGAAAACCGAAATTTCTCTTTGACATACTTCTCTTTGACATGTTCTGATTCTCTATATTTTCATGAATCCAGTCGAATAATTTGGCTTGGGGATCTAAACTATCGGATTGCACTTTCTTACCGATCTGCTAAAGCACTTGTTGAGATGCAAAATTGGAGGGCATTATTAGAAAATGATCAGGTATATTTTCATGTTTTCTCCTCGAATTCTAAATTGCTTTGCTTTAGTCTTGATAAATATTATGAAAATGATTCAATCTGATTTCTTCATGGGACCCTCTTGTAGTTAAGGATAGAGCAGAAGCGAGGTCGTGTTTTTGTGGGATGGAATGAAGGCAAGATATATTTCCCACCAACTTACAAATATTCAACTAATTCAGACAGATATGCAGGAGATGATATGCATCCAAAAGAAAAACGCAGAACACCTGCTTGGTAAGAACATCTCCCACCATTATGCTTTAGAAAGTACTGGAAACATGACAAAATGTGGCATGGAAAGAAGTAGATACTGCATATGCATGAGCAAATTTTAATCACTTCGAGGCTCTGATTTCGTGCATGCTTTTCAAGGTGTGATCGAATATTATGGTACGGTGAAGGCCTTCAACAATTATCATATGTTCGTGGGGAATCTAGGTTTTCAGACCATAGACCAGTTTATGGTGTGTTTTGGGCCGAGGTGGAGTCAACTCATAGCCGATTGAAGAAAAGTATGAGTTACTCTAGTTCGCGGATTGAGGTGGAGGAGCTCTTACCGTACTCACATGGATATACTGAACTAAGCTTTTTCTGAAGGATAAAGGAATAAATATTACACATTGATCAAGTAAGTCTCTACCCGACTCGTGGACACATACACAGAGAAAAGTTCCCTGACTTTGAGTGGGCTTAACTGTTGTTAGGCTAATATATTCTTGTTCCCCATAAGCTATACTATGACAAATTATAAATCTGTCTAAGTTTAGCTGCAAAAGCTTCCCCTTTTAAGAGATCCATATTACCCATAATCAGGTCGTGAATACATATCAGATATTTTAATTAGTTTCTACATATTGGTTAGAGTTTTGCATCTTCAATCAATCACATAAAACACTCCTCAACCTTGTCACTATCTATTTTCCATGTTGCAGCTTTCCATAATTTTGTTGACCAAGCACAGGAAAATGTTCAAGTACGCAAGATCCTTTATCATAGTGGTCCTAGGTATCAATGATAATTTTAGCCCCATGGTTTTGAACTTAGAAGATACCAACAAGAAAAATGTTTAAAGAAGGAAGGAATTGAATGATGCATCTTTTGCACATGGATTAATCCGAATCAATATGGAAACCCCAGCTATAAGAAAGAATATGCACTTGGCAAAATGAAAGATGATAATGTACTATAAATAACTCTAAAGTTTTCATTTTTAAGTCGTTGCTTTTTTACTCGCTGAACAAGTATCTTGCTTGAACATCCCTATTTATGTAGAATTTGGTCCCCAGTTGCAGGTGGGAAGCACTTTGAAGAAATTCATTCTTGAAGGGCAATAGTGATGTTCCGTTGCCCACTAACTGAAAAAGGTAGGTTCTTTTCTCTTTTTTCTTCTTCTTTTCTTGGTTTTGCTGTTAACATCAAAATTTTCTTTGCCTAATCTCGTCTTCTAATTTTTCTTACCAGGTGTACATTTTGTAATTTGCTGGTCAACTAAATCACTAACTCAGCAAAGCTTGAATCATCATGTTTTGTTAGCTAACGACATACGAGTTTCAGTACAATGCATCACTCAGTTCCCCGATAAACCTCAACGTTCTGTGGTCAGAAAATGTTCTACCCTCCATAATGATTAGGTACTTATTTACTTTTGTTAATTACTAGTTTTTCTTCCATACTTAAAACTTACTCCCAGTTAGTTAATTAAGATAAACCCTTCTGAACATTTGCAGGGTATGAAGGCGACCTTTCAGAATCTGGCAATAGGACAGGAAAAGGATTATTTTATTTTTGATTCTTTTGTTAGTATAGGGAATATTTTTGATGGTCAATATAATCATGTGTGCTTACTTTTTTGTTTTAAATGCAAAGAGAAGGGGAAGTAGAGGTTTGATGGATATTAATACGCAAAGTGGTAAAAAAATATATATAAAAATTCAAAAGTTCCATGGTAAAAATCGGATTTCTCTCTCTTTTTTTTTTTTTTTTTCTCTTTCTGCCTCTCTTTATCTCTGTTGGTGCTAATGATATTTTACTGAAAAAGCTGGGTGTCTTGATAGCCTTCCATCTGCACTCGTAAATACTTTTTTTTAACCAGAAGAAAATTTACAGTGGTGGAATAACAAACTTGAAAAGAAGGGGACAGATTTACAGGGGTTGCAGGTTATATTGGAAGGCATGATTTATAGACTTCTCTTTTGCAGGGAGTGTTTGTATGTTCATACTTGTCTTTTGCTGTCTGGTTTTTGAGCATTTGGGTGTATGGGCCACGGGTAGACATTTTATTAATTTTAAGCTTTCAGTCTTTTTCTTTCCATAAATTTCTCATAATTAAATAGAATTATCCTCGTAAAGAAACAAAAAGTAGAACCCACCAAAAGGAATTCCCAAAATCTTGTTTAATTTTTACTACTTTTGTGGTTAATTTTGTAACTTCAGTCTTTGGTTTATTGAACCTTGCTTCTTTTTTGTATTCTCCTAATATATTATATATATATATTTCACTGTAATGCTACTGAATTCCACCTAAAAAGTGTATAATTGTTTCATTGCATGTTGGCATGACTTAATCCATTAACGTTACGTTACATGGTTTACATTAAAAAATTGTATCCGGCATTATTGTATTTTGCACGCTAGAAAAACATGTATAGCCACGTGCTTTAGTCAGCACACTTTCTTATTCGCAATATTTATATGGTATTTATATAAATATTTATAGAGAATGCAGAAATATTTATTAATTTGCAATGTTAATTTTTGACTATAAAAAATACCCACTTTATATATTTATTCGATATTTATGTAATGAAAAAAAAACTAGCTTTTATCTCTTCTCTTCTCTTCTCTTCTCATAATTTTAAGTTAAAACTCTCTTTTATCGGTATTTATATACAGAGCATAGACTTTCACTTGTTAACATATTTAATTTTACAGAAGTTTTAAGGAAAAAAATTCTTAAAAATATAACTAAAATCTTATAGTTGTGTGTATGATATTATATGGATTCTTTTAAATCTCTCCCTCGTGAGAAGATAATAAAATTCTTCTTTATTTTGGGGGGTGAGAGTTTGGCCATATTTGAAAACGGCGACGTTTTTGTCCCTCTTTCTTTCTGGAACGGTCATGTTAAACCCACTGTCAATCCAGCCCAACTTCATCCCTCTTCCTTCCTTAAACGGTCACGTTTTGCGGAGATTTGCTTTTCCTAACGTCTGCTTCAAATGAAAGAGAGAGAAAAGGACGGAGAGAAGCTTGCTGAGAACGACGATAAAGAGGGAGCATAAGGCAGAGAGAGAGAGCGCGCGACTGAGGAGCTAAAGCATAGAGGCCGGCAGCGGAAATAAGGAAGAACTGGAGCTGGATAGATGAAGCAGGGAGAGTGCGAGTCTAGGCTGTGAGAAGCAATTGAAGCTGAAAATGGAAAGGAGCTCGGCTCGAGGACCTCGAAAAAATCGAGAGAAGGAGAGGCTGTGATTGGTGAAGGTCTGAGTCTGAGAAGAGGGAAGAGGGAGAGAAAATAGAACCAGAAAACACATAAAAGAGGAGAAGGGGATAAAGGAGAACTGGAGGGAGAAAAGAGCCAAGAGCTAAGAGGATAACTGCGGAGAAGGAGGGGCCGAGAGGGTCACCAAGTTGAGCTATTGAGGGATTTCCAATCTGGTTCCCTTTGGTACGATTTCGAACACCTCATATTCAATTTTAACTGTGGATTTAATTAAAGTATGTTTCTGTTAGGTGGCAAAATAAATTAAATTAAATTAAATTTGGGAGTTTGAATGTATTGTTGCTTGATTATTCATCTCTATATAATGAATGTATGGAATAGTTGTGGTGAACTTTGATTGAGTTTGTAGTCTAAAGTATGTTTCTGTTAGGTGGCAAAATAAATATGATATTTTGAACTTGATCATCTGATAGAAAGCATTTGCTGAAATGATGGGATGCTTGGCTGCTCTTTTCACTGTTTTAAGTTAGAATAAAAACTTCTCCTG